GTTGTGACCAAGGGTTATGGTAATTGTAAATGTCGCATGTTGAGTATTGTAGTTGATTTTATGATATTATCTGATATATACTCTTTTCTATTTTGAGTTGGCCGATGATACCTACTCAGTACTTGTGCCTTGTACTGACCCCTACTTGTATTTGTTTTCTTGATTATTTGTGGAGTGCAGCAAACGTGCCGTCGTCTTCAACTCAACCGCAACTCTAGCCAGTCTTCATTGCACCGGATTTCAGGGTGAGGTAATGCTTCTAGCTTGGACTTGATCTTCCTCTTCATGTCTTGATGCCTTGAACTTCCGGCTGGGCTAGCTTTTTACTTATTTTAGCTTCTTAGATTAGTAATTTGAGGATAGATGTTCTTGTGATGATGACTTCCAGATTTTGGGGATAACGATAAGTTGGTTGTAGAAGTTGATTATTGATTTTCATTAATGAGTTTAAGTCTTCCACATTATATTACGTTATTTATGTTTGAAATGTTGGGGTTCAGATTGGTTGGTTCGCTCACATAGTAGGATAAGTGTGGGTGCCACTCGCGACCCGTTTTGGGTCGTGACAGTAATTCATGTCACTCTAAACAATATTGTCCTAAATTCAAAGCTACCGAAGAAAGTAAAACAAAAGGAACTCATGATACTGTTCAGACGAACATGTAATATTTTTATAAAAAACAGTCTGTCCAAATGGGCTCTTAGAGATCTTATTTATCCTTTTGATCAAAACAAAGGACCCAAACTAGTCTCAGTTCCTAAATCTAACCTTTGAATTATAGGATAAGTGAGAGGAAGCATTCTACATTAACCAATTTAACATGTTGTTTCAGATACATGATTGAAACTAGAAGAAATTCCTCCCACTTGAGAAAAAAAAGGAATGGATGAATAACATTGAATGAAAAAAAGGGTAGAAAAAAAGGAAAAGTCTTAAGAAGTATATAAAAAACAGGTCCAACCTATGTTGTATCTAACAGTTATACGCACTATGATGATTAATCAATCAAAAATATGATAAGCCAAGAAGAACACTTTTTAAAGGAAAAATTTGAACTTGGAGATGATTAAGGTCACATGGCTAATGAACATTGTGCATATACTTCCCTCTAATCTTGAATTAAATGCTCAGTTTTCTACATTAATTTGTATGTCCCTATACCACTTTAAAGTCATGTTACTCATGCACTATAAACATTGTGTTTGCATGTGGCACGAGGGAGAGAGACATAGTAAAATTGAAGCAAAATTCAGCATTATCCAGAGATCTAAGGTATGTGCACTACAATTTTTCATGGTTAAATAAAAAGTCAATGCACTTGAACCTATTTCTTCCACTTGTCCCAAAAGATATTCATGCCCTAAATACTACCAAAACAAATATCGTCTTAAAAAGCCTTATCCTAATGTGATGGTCTATGATTGAGATGAATTTGATGGAGGACACCTCTACTTTGGTGCCTTATAAAATATAGATTGAGAAAGTAGAGTGTGTTGGTTCTAGGGGGAATCATTAGTATTGGGTAAAGTCTTGAAGGATTTAGCTTGTGAGGGGAAATATTTTGAGGACCCTACACTTGAACAAAATTCACTTGTTAGGCTCAACGTGGGTGCACCTAGTGAGGGGGAATCAATGGGAGACCTATCTGTTGAACCTAGTTCTTCTATTGGGAACCATATAAAGTGGAATTTCAGGTTGATGTCAAAAAGTATTATAGTTGGTGCTGTACCTGATAGTACCACATCATGGGAACAAATTGAGAAAACATGTTCCATTACAAATGATATTCAAGAAAATTTGTTCCTCATACTGACTCTATTGAAATTAAAGACGAGTGAACTACTGTTTCTGCAGAGGGTACATTATTGATTGACCAAGTTCCTTAAAAGTGATATAAAAAGAGAGAAAAAAAGGATTGGGCGTGCATAGATCAAGTCTACCTCTGAAATTGAGAAGACTAGTAATTTTGTTAATCCAAAAGATATATTTTTTGCTGCTGAAATATGACTTCTATTTATCCTCTCATATTTTGATATTACCTACCCACTCTAGCCTTTGACTTCCGCTTGATTTTATCTTTAATTTTGATTACATTTGTGGTGTATATGTTTTTTGATTAATGCTTATGTTGGGTTTGAGTTTCAGCTCATGTCTATCTCATATGTTTGTGCAAAAGCTTTGCTATAGTTAACTGAGTTCTTGATTTATTAAGTGTTTGAGTAGGTGATAGCCAGTGGCCACGAGTATCAAATTTGTTTCTCTAAGTATGGTGTATGCCTTCACAGTGTTTTATTTTTGCTTGATGTCAAAAAGGGAGAAGTAGTTGTATATGAGTTATGTGTACCTAGTCAATGTAAGCAGATAAAATTTGTCATAGCCAAGAAGGGGGAATGTTTTAAAGTCTCGTTGTTTTGAAGTACGAAAAAGTTAAGAAGTTGTAGAAGTAACATGTCAAAAGGGAGAAGATGTGTGTCTTATTTGTTGTGTTCGTAATGTATGTTTTCATCATCAAAAAGGGGGAATTTATTAGAATAAGAAATATTTTGATAATTGACAAATACATAAATAGATGAAAGAAACAGGTTTTTCGACATGTTCTTTACAGACCAAATCCAACTTGGATAAGGAGAACGTCAACCACGTGAATTTAAAGTTATAAAGCTATGAGCAGATAAGGAATTCAAGTTAAAGTCAAGAAAGAAAACTGAACACTAGTTTAAGTTGAACTAGGAGTTCTACACAAAAGAGGAGTCCTACATGAAGTAGGATTTCTAGTTGAAATAGGTCTTGGATTCAAGTCCAAATCTATAAATAGGGCGATAGTTTCACTTGAGAAAAATTGTGCACTTACATAGAGAGAAGATCAAACCACGATCAAGAGGTTTGAGAGATTTTTTAGATTTATTGGGAGTGTTGCAATTTGGGAGGAAAAATTGTAACATTGTAATTAAGAGATTTGATTGCAATCGAGTGTGTGTGTAGGATTCGTCTAACAAGTTTGAAAAACTTGATGGACGGTAGAAGATATAAAATCGGGAGATTTTGTGTCTTTAGGTAGCTAGAAATTAAAGTTAATAATTTCTTAGTTAGGAATTAGAGTTTATAATTCCTCTAGGAATTAGAGTTTATTATTCCATAGGTTACATAGCTTTGTAATCTTTTGTTGAGACTTGAAGTTTAATAAAGTGGAGTTAAATCCTACAGTGGTTTAGGTCTTGATTTTATCTTTAAGAGTTGAGGTTTTCCGCAATAAAATACTGTGTTATTATTTTATTTACTTCACAAAACGTAACTGCTGTAACTACAAAGAAACATATAGAATAAACATGTTCCTTAGGCAATTTTAGGGGTCAGAATTCCAACAAAACACTTATAATAAGTCAATCCAAATTAAACATGCTCTAAATCAATTTTGATGTAGCCTATAATCTAAATGGACAACTTAATAATTAGTACTGCTACATATGATGTAGCCAACACAAAATTTATTTCTAACATTCATACGTCCATATTATTATTCACTTCAACATATATAGGCCACCCAACATACATTGAAGATGATATTTTGCATACTTAAATAAGTAAATAAAATACTAAATTTTCAGGAGTTTATGAATTTTAAGATGGACCAAACATAAAGGAACTAAATAAAAAAAGTTTTTTTTTCTGGGCTATTGATGGATCAATCTAAATTTTAAAAGTCTTCTCCATTGAAAGCTTCATTGAGGAAAACTTCCCATTCACATGCATCATTCTCATGTGTAGTACTTTCAGCAATATTTCCCATAGTATTCTCCTAATCATTGTTACAAGCATTTAAAGTGAGTTGTTTGTGTGAATACTATAAAAAATAAAGTTATTTTGATCGATAATAATAAGAATAGAACTTTGGACTAACCTCCATGGAATAGTTAAATCCATTAACATTAGAAGTTATTACATCATTTTGAACTGAAGGAGGATCATTATATTCATTGGTGTAATTGTTGTTGTTACTCATGTTATTATTCCAATTTGAATGGGTATTCTCCAAACCAAACAAGGAGGAATTATTCAAATTGTTGTTCCAAGTTGTATTGTCATTCTCCAACCCTAATTGGAAGGTATTGTTCAATTGTGTGCAGGAGACAGACCTGAAATATAAAGAGAACATGTTCTTAGCTATCATATCATGTTAAACAAGAACAATACAAACATCAATAATAAAACATATTGTTTTTGACTCGTTTTATATGATATTATTACTATTTTACTAGTATCGTTTATGATGGTATTTTGATCTTATATAGAGTTAATTAAGATCCATTGATCGTTATAATTCTAATTACTATTATTATTCTTTTTCAAATATAAGAAATATTATCTTGTGAACAATATAAGTTCTCGTATCAAAAGTTATCAAAAGAAACCTTGTAGAATCACAAATATTTTGCCAGAAGTTGAAGAGAGAGTTGTCAGTACTTTCACCGAAAGTCATTTGTGCCTGCAAAAATGTATAAACTATTAAGTGAAGTACGAAAGGGGTGGGGGGGGGTAGGATTTAACAAGGAATAATATTTCATGAATACAAATGTACCTGTGATTGTCCAAATATTTGTGTTGGATTCTGCTGGGAATCTACCATCATGTTTTGTTCCTGAATCTATTGCACAAATAAAAATAATTATATAAATTTTTTGTTAGAAAAAAAATAGCTTGAGTTCTTAAAGAGATCTTTACAAGGAATAATATTTTAAGAATGTTAATGTACCTGTAATTGTCCAAATGTTTGTGTAGGATTCTCATGGACATCTATCATTATGTTTTGTTGTTGTCTCTATTGTGCGGATAAAAAATATATCAATTTTTTAAAAAAAAATATCTCTCTTTTTGGAGGTCCTAGCTACTGTATTTTTCAAAATATTACCTGCAACGGAATATAAGGTGACGAGTTTTGGCTTTGAAAAAATGGTATACTCCCATTTTGTGAAGAACTAGGAAAGGAAAGGCTATATGCATAATTTCCAGAACTATTTGCTATTCCCTTCCCTACATTCATCCAATCTTGAAGTATGCTCTCCTAGATATTTGAGCTGCAATAATAACAAAATAATAACTCTAAAGGAAAATAAAGAGATAAAAGTTTATTGTAAAGAAATATTATTTGGAAAAAAATAATGACCTGTATGGATTAATCCAATTATTAGTATCAAACTGGTGAGGAGCTGTTTGTTGTGCAACAAAGTGAACATCTATCTTTTCTTGTTTCTCCAATTCCATCTAATCAAAATTTCTTAGACATTAATATATTTATATATGAGTTGATTTGATGAACTATTTCTAAGAAAAATAATAATTTTCTTGAAATTTGTGATTTCACTTTATTTTTAAATGATAAATTAAGACAAAATAATTGGTGAAAGAACTAACTTTTCTAGCCTTGACTCTTTCGAGAGAGAGTTGTAAGTTTCTCTCACACCAAATGAGTTGATGAAGAGAAGGTTCTTTCCCTTGTCCTGGTTCGAAATCCCTGTGGAATCATATTTAGACGATTGAAATATACTATAATTTAAATGTCTAAATGAAAATTTATGGTGATACTATTGTATTCAACCTTGATGTTATAATTAAGATGAAATATAAAGAAAAACACTTGTGATACTGAATAAACTGACCTTATGTTAGCATCCAAAATCTGCGATTTCAATGTGCTCTTCTTGATTTGTAGCTCCAAATTCTGGATCAAAGAATTTCAAGTTCAAATGATTTTATAACTTTCCTCATTGGCTCTAAAATGATTAATTACCATTTATTTATTAAGAAAACTCTTAATTTTTATTTCAATGTCTCACTTAACTAACAATCTACTCCCTTCGTCGCATAATAGTTAATTATCCTTCCAAAATAGTTGTCCACTTTACTAAATCAAGAAATCATTAATTAGATTTTTCTTATATTCGCCTTCCAATTAATTCTTTTTGAAAGTGTTCACATTTGATTATAAAATTTTCAAGAAATTTTTAAATGGGTAAAGTAGTAAAATTATATTCTTACTTATGATTTCTTAATGTATGTGTAGAAAGATAATTGATCAACTAATGTGAGGCGGAGGGAGTACTAATTAGAATTGTACTGATAGATTGGAAAAAAACAACATATAAGACATCAAATGAAGTTGTGCTAACCTCAATCCTGTAGAAATTAGAACACCAGCAATAGGTTGAAACATCCAAAGGAAGCCATCATGAGATAGTTTAATTCATTAGTGATAGTCAATATTACTTAATACAAAAGAAATCAAGTATGAGGCACTAGGTAGTAGTATCGAACATTTCGATAAATTAAAACAATGTAACACTTACATCACCTGTGTGAGCTCTCTTACATTTTGAGTTTGAATCACGGAATAATAGAATATGGTTACCAAGATTCAACTAAAATTATTTTTTCTACTCCATAAAAATTAAAGTAAAATTACATACATCTTAATCTTTTAACATCTTAATTGTCAAATTAAATATAAGCTTGCTGTAGTTGGTGCAACACATATATATGCTCTTGCAAGTAAGTATGTTTTTAATGGTTAAAGCTAATGGACACTATACTACAAAATAAGTAGCAAGTCTATAATTTTCTCTGGTCAAAATATATTTTGTTAATTATGCTTTGACTGACCTTTTGATCTCTTTTCTTTAATAAGTGTGCTAAAATATAAAAATAATAATAATAAATTTATAATTATATAAGTTTATAAGTTGGTCAAATTAATCTTTATATTCATATTTTATAATTATTAGTCAAATCACTTATAGCTAAGCATCTAAAATTTAAAATCAATTAAAAAGTATCAAGTTATTACCCCTCTCCGTTAATTGATAATAATAATAATATATGTATGATTATATAAGTTTATAAGTTGGCCAAATTAATCTTTATCTCCATATTTTGTAATTATTAGTCAAATCACTTATAACTAAGCGTCTAAAATTTAAAATCAATTAAAAAGTATGAAGTTATTACCCCTCTCCGTTAATTGATTTCATTTAATAAGCATTTTTATTTAATTGAATATTTCACTCATTTAGCCATAATATCTTTTCTAACCCTCAAAGTATTCTTTTTAAAATAGAGCTTCTATTTGGTTCCATTTTCATCGTTAGTTAATCTCCTTATGCATATTCTTTTTTGGTTTACATGTTTAGTAAAAAAAAACCATTGAACAATATGTAATTAGAGAGAGAAAATAAATTAATCCAAAAATTAAAGAGTGCGAGGAAGATAAGAGATCAAACTTTTTATCAAGATATTGTAGCTTTCGAGCATCTCCCTTGATGTGGTTCAATTGCCTCAGTTTTGTCATCTTTTCCTTCATTAATATACCAAAAAATATATATTATAAATAATGGTGGTTAAAATTTTCCCGATAATTAAATTTCATAGCAACTCTATTAATTACACACTTCTTAATTTGAAAGTAAAAAATGTTGTTTTAACAAATTACAAATCAATTAGTATTTCATTAATACTAATGATGTCATTTGCAGAACCTTTTAATTAATACTGACTTCATTTTAATTTATTTGTTTGATTTTATATTGACATAAAATATAATAGATTAAAAAAATATTTTTCAATTTTATGGAATATGTGAATATATCGTTTATTTTGTGGTCATAAACATATTATGCAGAAAGTTAAAACAAAAGAGTTGTTGAAAAAGAAAAAAACACTCTGTTGGATGAATTGAATGTTCCACGTCACTAAATAAATGTAATCTTGATCTACTTATAAAACTTATACAATCTTCTCCCTTTGAAATAAATTTTGACTGTGAATTAGGCACATGACCTAACTTGACATGATCAATACCAAAACCGATGTGGCCCCTACGAAATGGAATAGTTGGGGGGTGAAAATCACACTCTTGATCGGATTGTGAAATTCTAGATAAAAGGTATATGTATGTGGGTGTGGTGGTGATGGGGTGAGGTGGAACTGGGGTGGGGGTGGGGGGAGAGTAAATGAAATGCCAGATAAAGAATGTTCGGATGAAGAGAGGTGATAAAGGAAATCCCGAATAAGCAATGTCCAAATATGATCGTGAAAGGGGGCGGGGGTGATAATCATAACAAGATTTGAGAAATCCTCATTCCTTTGACTTTTGTGGTATGAATTAGACTCAAAACCTAAGTTGACTAATTCTTTCAAAACAATCTAAAAAATTTAAACAAATTGAAAGAGCGAGAACAAAATTTAAATTCAAACATTGTAAATTTCACATTTATTTAAAGATTATTAGAATTAATTCACATCAATAGAAATAAGACATAATTTTAGAAAAATAAAAATTCCTACAAATAGATATCTATAATAAATATGTAAATGAGTAGAGTAAATTTGTGAAAGGAGTAAAGTACCTGAACATCAGTCACGTGACTAACCCAAACAAGAGGAAAAAAAAAGAACTCATAAGTTAGTGCTACGGTATAAAATAATAATCAATTCTATAAATTTAAGATTAGTTCATGTACGTCAATCTCCTCTCAACCGGAAGCTCAATATAGCGCTGAAGCATGTCTTTAATTCTACAAAAGTAACAATTTAGCAAGAAAATTAATCTAGTTAATCTTTTTATTGATTAATACCTAGCAAGATGTAACGACAAATTCTATAGGTATTGATCGTAAATATAATACCTTTTTTGGCTACAGAATTTACTGAGCCGATTAGCAGGCGAGAACGCGACAAACACCACATCCACGTTACAACAAATTGCAATCTCTTTCACCTTTTTTAGTAAAGAAGTACGCCGCTTAGAAAATGCGACTTGACGTCTCTTCATCTCTACTATTTTCTTTATCTTAATTCTTCTACCCATCTTGAAGTTTTTTCAGGGGAGGCTCTTCTCTCCCTTGAAAGGAACAACAACTTAGAGAATTGTGTGAAGTGTGTGAAAGTTACAATGACTGAAAGAGGAGGCTCCAAAGTAGCTAATTTATAAGGGCAAAAACCTATTAAAGTCAAATATGAAATAAATAAACAAAGTTGGTCAACCTAATATAGATATAGTCGAGTGACTTTTGTTATTAAAAATTAAATTATCATAATTATGAATTCATATTCAGGTAATATCATTTATGTCTATGCGCTTACATGTGAATATTGTATTAATTAATAATAAATGTATAATTCTATAAAAAAAAGTAGTGTGAATGTTATATTATTAGTACAAATATTTGAAAAAAGTAACGTAAAATTTGTAAAATGAAAATTGTACTTAAAAAGAAGCTGATAATCCACAATTATACACTAAAATTTAAAGAACAAAATTAAGTATAGTGAGCAAAATTTTGGCGTTGATATTAAAATTTCAAATTATGTTGGTAGGAAAACACATCTAAACAATAAGTTAATGGAAAGACAAACCACATTGTAAATGAGCGCAATACGACACAACTACTTTTTAAAATTAATAATAACAAAAAGGATTATGGTCAAGTCCAAAATGACAATAATCTAAAGTTACGATGAATAAAAAAATGAAGTGATCTATCAAAATGTTTTACGTTATATGTATCCCTATATATAAATTGATATACTTACCTTAAATTTTACTCTTTCATCAAGTTTGACTTTTGTAAATAATAGTATAACATAAAAAATACTAATAAAAATAACATTTATATTTAAGAACAATTGAAAAACAAAAAACGACATAATATTATGTACTATTTCACTACCTTTTTTGCATTATCCATCCCTTAATCTGAATTCTCTATATAGAAAATTAGTTAGTATTTGAATGTAGTTATGTTTAAACTTTAAGATTGTCTTTACTTATCCTCTCATGACCCTCATCCAAACTTGTTAAATATATAGTAATATAGTTTTTAATTATGCGTTAAAAAGTTATGTTATATTAATCGCTAATATGCATCAATACATAGTAGTGACAAACTTACTTGTCCACCCTCCATTTTTCGTAGGGTAATTTGGTCCCAATTTAACATATGTATCTTTCCGTTTTGTGATGCATCTACGTAATTTGATAAATTGAATTATATGGATAGCGATACTATTAATTAAGGACAAATTCGTTTAAACTAGTTATGTAGTTCTCCCTAAATGTTGAGAAACTTTTTGTTGATTATAACGCTAGTTTTGAATGGTGATTTTCAAGTATAAATTGGATGTCCTTATGGGGCGTTCTTTTATTTATGATTGAAAAACCTATATATTTCCCGAAGTCTTTATCAAATGTATACTTTGGGGATTTTTTGATTCCTTCAATGTATTTAAACATTTTTCTTAATTTTTTTGGATATTCCAAAGATATATTTAATTTCATTCAAAAACATTTTTCGTGAAGGTTAGATGTCTCAGAGAGTACTATTATTTTCCTTCCAAGCATTTGAAATGATATGGGTTATTTGAAAATGGTACGTCCACATGGTTTCAAATTTAAAGATTTTAGATCAATTTAGCTTGACTTTTGTACTGGGGGGAAGGGGGGGAGAGGTCGAATCACCGGTATCACCATTTCCACGTTGAAGGGTTTCCCATTCATCAAAGTTGGATTCATCACAACAATGTAACTCCCTATTACAAAAAAATCTTACATCGATCCTGATTTTGGATAGATCATTGGTACAATTAATGATGTGTTTTTGACGCATTTCTTTTTAAATATCATGACCCTTTAGTTATCTTAAACTTCCACCTCTGTCCTCTTCTTCCTTAGTAGAACTACAACATTCTCTATTTCTTTTAGATTTACATTTACGTTCTAAGATTGGAAACTACCTGAGGAGGAGGGGATAGTCGTATTCGAGTCAATACCTAGGAGGTTTGACTCTATTTTGTTAGGTAACATTGGTCCTAGGTTTCCCCCACGTTGGTCTGATCCTTGTTTTGGTAGCTTGCATGTTCACTTGTTATGGGTGTAGGGTGCTCCATAGATGCAATATCACCTCTGGAACTTATTGCAAGAACAGGAAGGGTGGGAAAAGCGATGAGTGTGGTGTTGAGTGCGATGTGGAGATGAAGTTGCATAGAACGGGTTGTCCCTTAAGTTTACTAGAATACATGATGACGGGAAAGAGAGTGGTTGCTCTGGGTTTTTGTGGGAAGAGCGAGTGTCTCCTATTTATCCTTGTCTACTGGGTGTCTGAGCATTCCATAATTGTTTTTAATTTTTTTTTAAAAATAAATATAATTCTCTTTCATATTTGATTATTCTTTCTTTAGAGGAAAAATTTGGAACTCTATAAATTGACGATGCCTCTTCTCGATCATAAGAAAAAAACACATTAACATCGACAGTATTGTCATTCAAAGAGTTTGTTTATGGGCAAATTTTATCGATACAATTTTATGTCTTTTTAAATATTTAGGCTAATTGGTCAAACATATAATAATATTATTTTTTTTAATATTATATTTAGTAAGGAATACTACTCTTGGTGGAAGACAAGGATGAAAGACTTCATTCAATAATGGTGGTCTGTTGATGTGTTACCCTTGACCATGCCCAAGAGGAGCTGCAGAATTCATAATGATCTTATCTTGAGTTATTAGACTCTTTAAAGATAACCTGCTCTGATACCAATTGTTGGATTTCTGACCCCCAAAATCGCCTAAGGAACAGGTTTATTCTATATGTTCCTTTGCAAATTACATTAGTTATGTTTAGTGAATCAAATAAAATAAATATTTTATAGCGAAAACCCCCAACTCTTAAGGGCAACAAATAAACAGACCACCATTATTTAATGGAGAATACTACTCTTGGTGGAAGATAAACATGAAAGACTTTATTCAAGCTGAGGATTACGAACTATGAGTTAGAATTACTAATGGACCATTAATTCCTACTATTACTGCTAGTGAAGGGAATAAGGTACCTAGACCTATAGAAAAATATGGAGAAGCTGACCGTAAGATGCTAGGGAAAAATGCAAAAGCTAAGTGCATCCTCGTATGTGGACTAGGACCTGATGAGTTTAAACGCATCTCTAGTTGTACCTCTGCAAAATAAATATGAGACACTTTACAAAACACTCACGAAGGTACAAGTCAAGTTTGTAAATTCAGAATTGCCAAAATTTGTTCTGAATATGAAGCTTTCAAGATGAAATTCGAAGAATCACTTCAAGATATGATCACCAGATTAACCACTGTTGTAAACGAGTTAATGTTCTTGGGCAATGTATACACCACTGAGGAACACGTAAACAAAGTACTAAGGACTGTGCCTAGATCATGGGAAATAAAAGTTACTGCAATCAGAGAAGCCAAGGATCTAACCAATATTATGTTAAATGAAATAGTAGGAAATTTCAAAACTTATGAGATGAATGTTGACAAAAGAGGTGAAGGAAACAAAGAGAAAAATCTTGGATTTAAAGCAACTAAAAGTGATGAATCAGATTTGGGTGATGATGGATTGACACTAACAAGTAGAAACTTCAAGAAATTCTTCAAAAGGGGCTTAAATTCTGAAAAAAGGGTAACACACAGTAAAGAAAAAAATACAGAGAAACCACAAAGTGAAGGATGCTTCAATGTGAAAAAACTAATTATCAAATTAAGAATTTTCCTATGTGGGAGGTAGAATGGAGAAAAAAAAAGAGCTGAAAAGGAGAAGAGAGAACTTTTAAACAAAAGAAAAAATAAAGATAAGGAAAAAGCAATGTATACAACTTGCAGAAAATGTTCGGACATATATGACGAAGATGATGAGGATCTCGCTTTGATGGCCATAGAAGATTCAGAACCTGAACCTGAATTAGACTCTGAAGGAATGGAGGTAAATCTTTTTGATTTAAAAGATAAACTATTAAAGTTCTCTAAGAAAAAACTATCCTTCTTATTACTCACTTCCATGAATACAATTCAAGAACTAGTTAAAACCAAGAATCAATTGCTTGCTTGCATGACTAGTTTAAAGTTTAAACATATTGATCTTGAAAAAGTTAATTCTGATCTCAAGAAAGAAAATAAACTCCTAAGGTAACATGTAAAACAAGTTGATTCCTACACTTTGGCTCTCAAATCTAAAATTTTGAAATGAAATTTTACTGGAATGAAAAATAAAAAATTAGTGGTGACCAAATCAGATGCGACCAAGATCTAATAAGGTTAAACAGTGAACTATATTCTGAAAAGAAAAATTCTAGGAGAATGAATCTTGAATTGTCGAGGATAAAAACTGATCTGGAAAGAGCTAATAAATGGACAAAATCCTCCATGATAGTAACCCATCTAGGTAACAATACTAGGAACATTAAAACTGGAATAGTATATGAATAACTCATAAATGGGAATCCTATGTTTTGTATTATTTGTGGTAATTCAGGTCACTCTAAACAATATTGTCCTAAATACAAAGCTACTGGAGAAAGTAAAACAAAAGGAACTCATGATACTGTTCAGACGAACATGTATATTCTTAAAAAAGACAGTCTGTCCAAATGGGCTCTTAGAGATCTTATTTATCCTTTTGATCAAAACAAAAGACCCAAACTAGTCTGAGTTCCTAAATCTAACCTTTGAATTTACAGGATAAGTGAGAGGAAGCATTTAACATTCACCAATTGAACATGTTGTTTCAGATACATGATTGAAACTAGAAGAAATTCCTCCCACTTGAGAAAAAAAAGGAATGGATGAATAACATTGACTAAAAAAAGGGTCGAAAAAAAGGAAAAGACTTAAGAAGCATATCAAAAATAGCTCCAGCCTATGTTGTATCTAACAGTTATGCGCACTAAGATGATCAATCAAACAAAAATATGATCAACCAAGGAAAACACTTTTAAACGGAAAATTTGGAACTTGGAGATGATTAAGGTCACATGAGTATCCCTCAATGGCTAATGAACATTGCGCATATACTGCCCTCTGATCTTGAATTCAATGCTCAGTTTTCTTCATTAATTTGTATTTCCCTATACCACTTTTAAAGTCATGTTACTCACGCACTATAAACATTGTGTTTGCATGTGGCACGGGAGAGAGACATAGTAAAATTGAAGCAAAATTCAGCATTATCCAGAGATCTAAGGTATGTGCACTACAATTGTTCATGGTTAAATATAAAGTCAATGCACTTGAACCTATTTCTTCCACTTGTCCCAAAAAATATTCATGCCCTAAATACTACCAAAACAAATATCGTCTTAAAAAGCCTTATCCTAATGTGATGGTCTATGATTGAGATGAATTTGATGGAGGACACCTCTACTTTGGTGCCTTATAAAATATAGATTGAGAAAGTAGAGTGTGTTGGTTCTAGGGGGAATCATTAGTATTGGGTAAAGTCTTGAAGGATTTAGCTTGTGAGGGGAAATATTTTGAGGACCCTACACTTGAACAAAATTCACTTGTTAGGCTCAACGTGGGTGAACCTAGTGAGGGGGAATCAATGGGAGACCTATATGTTGAACCTAGTTCTTCTATTGGGAACCATATATAGTGGAATTTCAGGTTGATGTCAAAAAGTATTATAGTTCGTGCTGCACCTGATAGTACCACATCCAGGGAACAAATTGAGAAATCATGTTCCTTTACAAATGATATTCAAGAAAATTTGTTCCTCATACTGACTCTATTGAAATTAAAGACGAGCGAACTACTGTTTCTGTAGAGGGTATATTATTGATTGAACAAGTTCCTTAAAAGTGATATAAAAAGAGAGAAAAAATGGATTGGGCATGCATAGATCAAGTCTACCTCTGAAATTGAGAAGACTAGTAATTTTGTTAATCCAAAAGATATTTTTTTTGCTGCTGAAATATGACTTCTATTTATCCTCTCATATTTTGATATTACCTAGCCACTCTAGCCTTTGACTTCCCAATTTTTTTTCTTATTACAAGTGCTTGATTTTATCTTTAATTTTGATTACATTTGTGGTGTATATGCTTTTTTATTAATGCTAATGTTGGGTTTGAGTTTCAGTTCATGTTTATCTCATATGTTTGTGCAAACGCTTTGCTATAGCTAACTGTGTTCTTGATTTATTAAGTGTTTGAGTAGGTGATAGCCAGTGGCCACGAGTATCAAATTTGCTTCTCTAAGTATGGTGTATGCCTTCACAGTGTTTTATATTTTCCTGATGTCAAAAAGGGAGAAGCAGTTATATATGAGTTATGTGTACCTAGTCAATGTAAGCAGATAAAATTTATCATAGTCAAAAAGGGGGAATTTGTTAATGTCTCGTTGTTTTGAAGTATGAAAAAGTTAAGAAGTTGTAGCAGTAATATGTCAAAAGGGAGAAGATGTGTGTCTTATTTGTTGTGTTCGTAATGTATGTTTTCATCATCAAAAAAGGGGGGAATTTATTTGAATAAGAAATATAATTGACAAATACAGAAATAGATGAAAGAAACAGGTTTTTCGACGTGTTTTTTACAGACCGAATCCAACCACGATAAGGAGAACGTCAACCACGTGAATTTAAAGTTATAAAGTTATGAGCAGATAAGGAATTCAAGTTAAAGTCAAGAAAGAAAATTGAACACTAGTTTGAGTTGAACAAGGAGTTCCACACAAAAGAGGAGTCCTACATGAAGTAGGCTTTCTAGTTGAAATAGGTTTTGGATTCAAGTCCAAATCTATAAATAGGGCGATAGTTTTGCTTGAGAAAAATTGTGCACTTACATAGGGAGAAGATCAAACCACGATCAAGAAGTTTGAGAGATTTTTGAGATTTATTGGGAGTGTTGCAATTTGTGAGGAAAAATTGTAACATTGTAATTAAGAGTTTTGATTGCAATCGAGTGTGTGTGTAGGATTCGTCTAACAAGTTTTAAAAACTTGATGGACGGTAGAATATATAAAATTGGGATATTTTGTGTCTTCAGGTAGCTAGAAATTAAAGTTCATAATTTATTAGTTAGGAATTAGAGTTTATAATTCCTCTAGGAATTAGAGTTTATAATTCCATAGGTTACATAGCTTTGTAATCTTTTGTTGAGACTTGAAGTTTAATAAAGTGGAGTTAAATCCTACAGTGGTGTAGGTCGTGATTTTTATCTTTAAGAGTTGAGGTTTTCCGCGATAAAATATTGTGTTATTATTTTATTTACTTCACAAAACGTAACTCCTGTAACTACAAAGAAACATATAGAATAAACATGTTCCTTGGGCAATTTAGGGGTCATAATTCCAACAAAACACTTATAATAAGTCAATCCAAATTAAACATGCTCTAAATCAATTATGAAGTAGCGTATAATCTAAATGGACAACTTAATAATTAGTACTGCTACATATGATGTAGACAACACAAAATTTATTTCTAACATTCATACGTCCATATTATTATTCACTTCAACATATATAGGCCACCCAACATACATCGAAGATGATATTTTGCATACTTCAATAAGTAAATAAAATACTAATTTTTCAGGAGTTTGTGAATTTTAAGATGGACCAAACATAAAGGAACTAAATAAAAAAAGTTTTTTTTTCTGGGTTATTGATGGATCAATCTAAATTTTAAAAGTCTTCTCCATTGAAAGCTTCATTGAGGAAAACTTCCCATTCACATGCATCATTCTCATGTGTAGTACTTTCAGCAATATTTCCCATAGTATTCTCCTAATCATTGTTACAAACATTTAAAGTGAGTTGTTTGTGTGAATACTATAAAAAATAAAGTTATTTTGATCGATAATAATAAAATAGAACTTTGGACTAACCTCCATGGAATAGTTAAATCCATTAACATTAGGAGTTATTGCATCATTTTGAACTGAAGGAGGATCATTATATTCATTGGTGTAATTGTTGTTGTTACTCATGTTATTATTCCAATTTGAATGGGCATTCTCCAAACCAAACGAGGAGGAATTATTCAAATTGTTGTTCCAAGTTGTATTGTCATTCTCCAACCCTAATTGAAAGGTATTGTTCAATTGTGTGCAGGAGACAGACCTGGAATATATAGAGAACATGTTCTTAGCTATCATATCATGTTAAATAAGAACAATACAAACATCAATAATAAAACATATTGTTTTTGACTCGTTTTATATGATATTATTACTATTTTACTTGTATCCTTTATGATGGTATTTTGATCTTATATAGAGTTAATTAAGATCCATTGATCGTTATAATTCTAATTACTATTATTATTCTTTTTCAAATATAAGAAATATTATCTTGTGAACAATATAAGTTCTCGTATCAAAAGTTATCAAAAGAAACCTTGTAGAATCACAAATATTTTGCCAGAAGTTGAAGAGAGAGTTGTCAGTACTTTCACCAAAAGTCATTTGTGCCTGCAAAAATGTATAAACTATTTAGTGAAGTACGAAGGGGGTGGGGGGGTAGTACTTAACAAGGAATAATATTTCATGAATACAAATGTACCTGTGATTGTCCAAATATTTGTGTTGGATTCTGCTGGGAATCTACCATCATGTTTTGTTCCTGACTCTATTGCACAAATAAAAATAATTATATAAATTTTCTGTTTGAAAAAAATAGCTTGAGTTCTTAAAGATATCTTTACAAGGAATAATATTTTAAGAATGTTAATGTACATGTAATTGGCCAAATGTTTGTGTAGGATTCTCATGGACATCTATCATTATGTTTTGTTGTTGATTCTATTGTGCGGATAAAAAATATATCAATTTTTTAAAAAAAATATCTCTTTTTTTGGAGGTCCTAGCTACTCTATTTTTAAAAATGTTTAAACTATTTAGTGAAGTACGAAGGGGGTAGGGGGTAGTACTTAACAAGGAATAATATTTCATGAATACAAATGTACCTGTGATTGTCCAAATATTTGTGTTGGATTCTGCTGGGAATCTACCATCATGTTTTGTTCCTGACTCTATTGCACAAATAAAAATAATTATATAAATTTTCTGTTTGAAAAAAAATAGCTTGAGTTCTTAAAGAGATCTTTACAAGGAACAATATTTTAAGAATGTTAATGTACATGTAATTGGCCAAATGTTTGTGTAGGATTCTCATGGACATCTATCATTATGTTTTGTTGTTGATTCTATTGTGCGGATAAAAAATATATCAATTTTTTAAAAAAAATTATCTCTTTTTTTGGAGGTCCTAGCTACTGTATTTTTAAAAAGTATTACCTGCAACGGAATATAGGGTGACAAGTTTTGGCTTTGAAAAAATGGTATACTCCGATTTTGTGAAGAACTTGGAAAGGAAGGGCTATATGCGTAATTTCCAGAACTATTTGCTATTCCCTTCCCTACATTCATCCAATCTTGAAGTATGCTCTCCTGGATATTTGAACTGCAATAATAACAAAATAATCACTCTAAAAGGAAAATAAAGAGATAAAAATTTATTGTAAATAAAATATTATTTGGAAAAAATAATGACCTGTATGGATTAATCCAATTATTAGTATCAAACTGGTGAGGAGCTGTTTTTTGTGCAACAAAGTGAACATCCATCTTTTCTTGTTTCTCCAATTCCATCTAATCAAAATTTCTTAGACATTAATATATTTATATATGAGTTGATTTGATGAACTATTTCTAAGAAAAATAATAATTTTCTTGAAATTTGTGATTTCACTTTATTTTTAAATGATAAATTAAGACAAAATAATTGGTGAAAAAACTAACTTTTCTAGCCTTGACTCTTTCGAGAGAGAGTTGTAAGTTTCTCTCACACCAAATGAGTTGATGAAGAGAAGGTTCTTGCCCTTCTCCTGGTTCAAAATCCCTGTGATATCATATTTAGACGATTGAAATATATTATAATTTAAATGTCTATTGAAAATTTATGGTGATACTGCTGTATTCAACCTTGATGTTATAATTAAGATGAAATATAAAGAAAACCACTTGTGATACTGAATAAATTGACCTTATGTTAGCATCCAAAATCTGCGATTTCAATGTGCTCTTCTTGATTTGTAGCTCCAAATTCTGGATCAAAGCATTTCAAGTTCAAATGATTTTATAAATTTCCTCATTGGCTCTAAAATGATTAATTAACATTTATTTATTAAGACAACTCTTAATTTTTATTTCAATGTCTCACTTAACTAACAAACTACTCCCTTCGTCGCATAATAGTTAATCATCCTTAAAAATAGTTGTCCACTTTACTAAATCAAGAAATCATTAATTAGATTTTTCGTATATTACCGTTCAAATTAATTCTTTTTGAAAGTGTTCACATTTGATTATAATATTTTCAAGAAATTTTTAAATGGGTAAATTAGTAAAATTATATTCTTACTTATGATTTCTTAATGTACGTGTAAAAAGATAAATGATCAACTAATGTGAGGCGGAGGGAGTACTAATTAGAATTGTACTGATAGATTGGAAAAAAACAACATATAAGACATCAAATAAAGTTGTGCTCACCTCAATCCTGTAGAAATTAGAACACCAGCAATAGGTTGAAACATCCAAAGGAAGCCATCATGAGATAGTTTAATTCATTAGTGATAGTCAATATTACTTAATACAAAAGAAATCAAGTATGAGGCATTAGGTAGTAATATCGAACATTTCGATAAATTAAAAACAATGTAACACTTATATTACATCACCTGTGTGAACTCTCTTAAATTTTGAGTTGAATCACGGAATAATAGAACATAGTTAACGAGATTCAACTAAAATTATTTTTTCTACTCCATAAAAATTAAAGTAAAATTACATACATCTTAATCTTTTAACATCTTAATTGTCAAATTAAATATAAGCTTGCTGTAGTTGGTGTAACACATATATATGCTCTTGCAAGTAAGTATGTTTTTAATGGTTAAAGCTAATGGACACTATACTACAAAATAAGTAGCAAGTCTATAATTTTCTCTGGTCAAAATAGATTTTGTTAATTATGCTTTGACTAACCTTTTGATCTCTTTTCTTTAATAAGTGTGCTAAAATATAAAAATAGTAATAATAATAAATTTATAATTATTTAAGTTTATAAGTTGGTCAAATTAATCTTTATATTCATATTTTATAATTATTAGTCAAATCACTTATAACTAAGCGTCTAAAATTTAAAATCAATTAAAAAGTATCAAGTTATTACCCCTCTCCGTTAATTGATAATAATAATAATAATATATGTATGATTATATAAGTTTATAAGTTGGTCACATTAATCTTTATCTCCATATTTTGTAATTATTAGTCAAATCACTTATAAGCGAAGCGTCTAGTATTTAAAATCAATTAAAAAGTATGAAGTTATTACCCTTCTCCGTTAATTGATTTCATTTAATAAGCATTTTTATTTGATTGAATATTTCACTCATTTAGCCATAATATCTTTTCTAAACCTCAAAGTATTCTTTTTAAAATAGAGCTTCTATTTGGTTCCATTTTCATCGTTAGTTAATCTCCTTATGCATATTCTTTTTTGGTTTACATGTTTAATAAAAAAAAAACATTGAACAATATGTATCTAGAGAGAGAAAATAAATTAATCCAAAAATTAAAGAGTGCGAGGAAGATAAGAGATCAAACTTTTTATCAAGATATTGTAGCTTTCGAGCATCTCCCTTGATGTGGTTCAATTGCCTCAATTTTGTCATCTTTTCCTTCATTAATATACCAAAAAATATATATTATAAATAATGGTGGTTAAAATTGTCCCGATAATTAAATTTCATAGCAACTCTATTAATTACACACTTCTTAATTTGAAAGTAAAAAATGTTGTTTTAACAAATTACAAATCAATTAGTATTTCATTAATACTAATGGTGTCATTTGCAGAACCTTTTAATTAAACTGACTTCATTTTAATTTATTTGTTTGATTTTGTATTGACATAAAATATAATAGATTAAAAAAAAATTCAACTTTATGGAATATGTGAATATATCCTTTATTTTCTGGTCATAAACATGTTATGCAGAAAGTTAAAACAAAAGAGTTGTTGAAAAAGAAAAAAACACTCCGTTGGATGAATTGAATGTTTCACGTCACTAAATAAATGTAATCCCGATCTACTTGTAAAACTTATACAATCTTCTCCCTTTGAAATAAATTTTGAGTGTGAATTAACTTGACATGATCAATGCCAAACCGATGTGGCCTCTAGGATATGGAATAGTTGGGGGGTGAAAATCACACTCTAGATCGGATAGTGAAATTCTAGATAAAAGGTATATGTATCTGGGTGTGGTGGTGGTGGTGGTGGTGATGGGGTGAGGTGGGACTGGGGTGGGGGTGGGGGGAGAGTAAATGAAATGCCAGATAAAGAATGTTCGGATGAAGAGAGGTGATAAAGGAAATCCCGAATAAGCAATGTCCAAATATGGTCGTGAAAGGGGGCGGGGGTGATAATCATAACAAGATTTGAGCAATCCTCATTCCTTTGACTTTTGTGGTATGACTTAGACTCAAAACCTAAGTTGACTAATTCTTTCAAAACAATCTAAAAAATTTAAACAAATTGAAACGAGCGAGAACAAAATTTAAATTCAAACATTGTAAATTTACATTTATTTAAAGATTATATGAATTAATTCACATCAATAGAAATAAGACATAATTTTAGAAAAATAAAAATTCCTACAAATAGATATCGATTATAAATATGTAAATGAGTAGAGTAAATTTGCGAAAGAGTAATGTACCTGAACATCAGCCATGTGACTAACCCAAACAAGAGAAAAAAAAAGAACTTATAAGTTAGTGCTACGGTATAAAATAATCATTTCTATAAATTTAAGATTAGTCCATATACATCAATCTCCTCTCAACCGGAAGCTCAATATAGCGCTGAAGCATGTCTTTAATTCTACAAAAATAACAATTTAGTAAGAAAATTAATCTAGCAAGATGTAATGACAATTTCTATAGGTATTGATCGTAAATATAATACCTTTTTTGGCTACAGAATTTACTGAGCCGATTAGCAGGCGAGAACGCGACAAACACCACGTCCACGTCACAACAAATTGCAATCTCTTTCACCTTCTTTAGTAAACAAGTGCGCCGCTTAGAATATGCGACTTGACGTCTCTTCATCTCTACTATTTTCTTTATCTTAATTCTTCTACCCATCTTGAAGTTTTTTCAGGGGAGGCTCTTCTCTCCCTTGAAAGGAACAACAACTTAGAGTATTGTGTGAAGTGTGTGAAAGTTACAATGAATGAAAGAGGAGGCTCCAAAGTAGCTAATTTATAAGGGCAAAAACCTATTAAAGTCAAATATGAAATAAATAAAAAAGCTGGTCAACCTAATTCAGATATGGTCGTGTGACTTTTGTTATTAAAAATTAAATTATCATAATTATGAATTCATATTCAGGTAATATTATTTATGTCTATGCGCTTACATGTGAATACTGTATTAATTAATAATAAATGCATAATACTATAAAAAAAGTAGTGTGAATGTTATATTATTAGTACAAATATTTGAAAAAAGTAACGTAAAATTTGTAAAATGAAAATTGTACTTAAAAAGAACTTGATAATCCACAATTATACACTAAAATTTAAAGAACAAAATTAAGTATAGTGAGCAAAATTTTGGCATTGATATCAAAATTTCAAATTATGTTGGTAGGAAAACACATCTAAACAATAAGTTAATGGAAAGACAAACAACATTGTAAATGAGCACAATACGACACAACTACTTTTTAAAACTAATAATAACAAAAAGGATTATGGTCAAGTCCAAAATGACAATAATCTAAAGTTACACTGAAAAAAAAATGAAGTGATCTATCAAAATGTTTTACGTTATACGTATCCCTATATATAAATTAATATACTTATCTCAAATTTTACTCTTTCATCCAGTTTGACTTTTGTAAATAATAGTATCACATAAAAAATACTGATAAAAAAATAATATTTATTTTTCCCAATATATGTAATGCATCTCCGTAATTTTATGATTCATTATATGGATAGTGCTACTGTTAAGAACAAATTTATTTAAGCTAATTAGTTCTTAAAATGTTGAGAAACTTTTTGTTGACTATTACGCTAATTTTGAACGGAGATTGTCAAAGTATAAATGAAAGAATGAAAAGAAAACGTTTGGAAATTTTTTCTGATAATTTCATTCATCTCCAAGCTTGCATATATACAAGTTTTACACAGAATAAAACTAATAATAAAAAAAGAAACTCAATAATCCACATGTCCTTTCTTTATTTGCCTACTCTATAACTAATCTAACAAACTTATATTCTTCAGTGTGCTAATCACGTGAGAAAAGTATTCTAGAATGGCATGAGTATGTACAGGTTTCACTAAATTAGATGGACAAAATTCAATCCTTCTCATTTGTGATGAAGAGTCCAGATTGCTCTGCCTCTTGTTTCTCTTTGACTTTCTTCTTTACAACTCTTCTTTCTAATTTCTTCTTTCCATCGAGGTGAATGGTTTTAAGCCAATATCCCCCCTCAAGTTGGAGGGTAAAGAAATGACCCCCAACTTGTTCAACAAATGGAGATGGGGAACCCCAGACAGTGGTTTGGTAAACAAATCAGCCAGTTGATGCTTCGATGGAACGAAGGGAAGTGTAATTAGACCAGCGACAACTGTTGTCTCACAAAGTGACAATCCAGCTTAACATGTTTCGTCCTTTCGTGAAAGACTGGATTTTTGGCTATGCTAATGGCAGCTTCACTATCGGAGTTCACTGTGATAGGGAGGAATGGAGGAACAGAGAGATCAGCAAGGACACGTACCAACCAAGTAATTTCAGCAGTCACATGGCGCATATAATGATACTCTGCTTCAGCGGATTAAAGGGAGATAGAAGCTTGTTTATTGGATTTCCAAGAAATGCGAGCACCACCAAAAGTGATGAAGCAACCACTGACAGATCTTCGAGTTTTACGACAAGAGGCCCAATCGGCGTCGTAGAAAGCTAATAGAGTAAATGTGGGATATGAGGAGAGAAAAATTCCTTGACTTGGATCATTTCGTAGGTATGTCAAGACTCGAAGAGCAACAAGATAATGTGATTCAGAGGGATGTTGCATATGTTGACTGAATGTCAATACAACAAAAGACAAATCATGCCTAGTGTGCGTTAAATAGTTGATCTTCCCAACTAAATGTCGATAAAGTGTTGGATTAGCCATGGAGGGATTGTCATCGACATGAATTTTGGAATATAGATCAAGCGGTGAAGATACAACAGCGCCAAAACAATCAAATTCAGCAAGTAACTCTAAGGTAAACTTGCGTTGATTGATGATAAATCCCTGTTTTTCTCAGAGGATTTCCAATCCTAAAAAATAGTGAATGTCTTTGAGATGCTTGACTCTGAATTCTGTATGAAGAAACTGCATGATGTGATGAATTTCTGAGATGTCCTCTCCTGTAATTAGGATGTCATCAATATATACAATGATGATAGAGTGAGAGAACCAGATGTCTCAAAGAATAGTGGGTAGTCGTTCATAGAACTAGTATACCCTTTGAAAGCAAGAGCTCCAGCTAACTTAGAATACCATTGTCTAGATGCCTGTCGCAACCCATATAAAGACTTTCCGAGAAGACAAACGTCGTTGGGCATGATGGAGGGTAGACCTGCATGACACTTCATGTATACTTCTTCCTGTAATTCACCATGAAGAAACGCGTTGCTAACATCCAATTGATGCACCTGTCATGCTTTCTTGATAGCCAGTGTGAGTAGACACCTGATAGTTGTCATTTTGATTACCGGAGAGAATGTTTCTGAAAAATCAACACCTTCATGTTGAACACCCACCCTCACTACCAATAGAGCTTTCAATCTCTCACTGACCTGTGTTTTACCTTGTAAACCCATTTACAAGGCAAAGTTGTCTTTCCTGGTGGTAACTGTAGGATATTCAATGCAAGAGCCTTTAATTCAGCATCCATTGTTGCTTTCCAGCCAGTATGTTTAGAAGCATGTGCATAACTCTTTGGCTTAACTACATCGGAAATAGAATGAAACATATGCTGATTCGAAAGAGATAAAGAGTTAAAAGAGAAAGTAGTGGGCTGGATAGGGTGGACAAAACATGCATTGGTAACATCAGTCAGTTGGATGTTATTGCAACAATAATCTTCTAGATAACTAGGTTTATGTCGCATTCTTTGAGTTCTCCCTTGATTGATGTGGGGAGAAGATGAAGAAGAGAGGGAAGAAAGGGCTCGACTGCTGACACTGGAATGATAGGAGAGGGTGTCTCAATATCTGGGGATGTAATATCAGGATGTGCATGAGCTTCTGGAGAGGATGAAGGATAAGAGACAGATTCTGAGATATCCATAGTAGAATTATGAGATGGAAAATTGGGAGGAAGAGAGTGATAAGATTTGTCAGAGGCAAAAGGAAATTGCTGCTCATGAAATTGAACATCCCTTGAAACAAAAACTTTCTTAGTGTTGAGATCTAACAACTTTTAACCCTTTTTACCTTGTGGATAACCTAGGAAGACACAAGCTGTTGCCCTTGGTTCAAACTTTCCTCTCTATTGAGATTGAGTTGAAGCACAGCATAGACATCCAAAGCTCCTCAAAAATTGATAGTTAGGTTGCTTATCAAAAAGAATTTCATATGGTGTTCTTCCATGTAGTACCTTGGATGACAACCTATTAATCAAATATGTAGATGTTAATATGCAATCTCACCAATAATCAATAGGTAAGTGAGATTTAAACATCAGTCCCCTTCGTAATTCCAATAGATGTCTATGCTTCCTTTCCACAACACCGTTTTGTTGTGGAGTTCCAACACATGAAGTTTGATGCAAAATTCCTTGAGATTTAAGAAAAGCTGTCTTCTGAATACTTGTTCCCAATTGCAGTGCATTGTCAGAACTAATGAACTTGACTTGGGCATGGAATTGTCTCTCTATTATAGCTAGAAACTTGATAGAATATGA